TACCTCAGTTGAAAATGCAGAAATCACCGGTCTTCTGTGTCGCTCGTGCTGGGAGTTGGAGACTGGAGCTGTTCCTATGCGGCCATCTTGCTCCGCCCCCCGCAAAAGTGATTTCTAGAGATGGAATCTACCCCTGGTGAAGATGCTGGGAACAGTGTTGAAATGACACTGAAGGACTTGGAATATTATATAAACTTAGTTGATAAAGCAGCAGCAGGGTTTGACAAGACTGATTCCAATTCTGAAAGAGGTTCTACTGTGGGTAAAATACTATCAAACAGCACCGTATGCTGCAGAGAAATCTTTTCTTAAAGGAAGAGTCAACTGATGTGGCAAACTTCATTGTTGTCTTATTTTTAAAAATTGCCACAGCCTTGTAGAGGATGTGGAGAAATAGGAACACTGTTGGTGGGACTGTAAACTAGTTCAACCATTGGGGAAGGCAGTGTGGCGATTCCTCAGGGATCTAGAACTAGAAATACCATTTGACCCAGCCATCCCATTACTGGGTATACCCAAGGGATTATAAATCATGCTGCTATAAAGACACACGCACACATATGTTTATTGCAGCACTAATCACAATAGCAAAGACTTGGAATCAACCCAAATGTCCATCAGTGACAGACTGGATTAAGAAAATGTGGCACATATACACCATGGAATAACCATGGAATACTATGCAGCCTAAAAAAGGATGAGTTCGTGTCCTGTTAGGGACATGGATGCAGCTGGATACCATCATTCTCAGCAAACTATCACAAGAACAGAAACCAAACACACGCATATTCTTACTCATAGTGGGATTGAACAATGAGATCACTTGGACACAGGAAGGGGACATCACACACCAGGGCCTATTGTGAGGAGGGGGGAGAGGGCAGGGATAGCATTAGGAGATAATACCTAATGTAAATGATGAGTTAAGGGGGCAACACACCAACATGGCCACATGTATACATAGTAACAAAACCTGCACATTGTGCACATGTACCCTAGAACTTAAAGTTATATTTAAAAAAATAAATAAAATAAACAGCATGGCAGGCAAAAAAAAAAAAAAAAAAAAAAACACTAATTGTCTGTTTTCAACAAAATAGATGTATTTTAATGGAAAAAAAAAATGTCACAGCCACCCCAGCTTCAGCAACCATCACCTGACAGTGGGCAGCCATCATACTGAGTCAAAACCCTCCCCCAGCATAAAGATATGACTTGCTGCAAGCTTAGATGATGCTAAAATTTTTAGCAATAAAAGTATTTAATTAAGGTATGCATATTTTTTTTAGACCTAATGCTACTGCACACTTTAAAAACTACAGTATAGTGTAAACTAACTTTATATGTACTGGGAAACAAAAAAAATTGTGTGATTCACTTTATTTTGATATTCACTTTATTGTGGTGGTCTGGGAACTAAACCTGCAATCTCCAAGGTATGCCTGTATTCTCTAATCAAAGAACGCGGGCACTCAAAAATAGGTACAGAAATTTTTTTTTTTCTCCAAATGTGACCTCTTGGACTATTAAGATGATTTGGGTTTAAATATTTTTAAATGGAAATATAGTAAGTTATTTTATCTATATATTTAATAGTAAGACTTGGGACTTGGGATGATATCTGAGTCAAAATAGAGAGCTAGAAATAGGAAGGTGGGAAAGATAAGAAAATAGAAGATTAAATAAAAATGTCCAGACCTCGGTCCTGGAAGGCCAGGTTGGCCAGGAGGCGCTTCTAGACAATTCTTCCAGGTGTTCCAGGTGCTCTGGAGGTCCTGGAATTCCAGGAAAGCCTGTAAAATGATAAGTCAATTTTAACCACCAAAGAAAGACACTTAAAAAGATATTCAAATTCCCAAAGCCACATTCTAATCGTTTAGTGACAACAGTAAGATGTTAAAAGCACAATGACATTCACTACCTAAGATTAAGCCTTACAATCCCTCAATCACCTACATTCCTTTTATTTTCACATAGAGCTAAGGTAGGTGAACATATGTTTCTGAAGAAAATGAGGACTATTATATAATAAGATAGAACTAAATTGTAAGGAATGAATTCCACACAAAATGGCCAGAACTTTTCTTCGTGCTTATATCTGGATGCAGTATGACAAAGGGCCTACCATATAATTTTGGAAATGGACTAAAACTAACTGCAGATATTATAAGACGATATACACATAAATCAAACCCGATAACATCGAAAGCATTTTGTATAAATGAGTAAAGATATATTTAAGAACTGTCTCAGACCCTGTGTGCTTTGCCATTTGGAGAAT